TTGATCACATATATGTATATCGGTAACCGTTCCACCAATTTGTACCAAACTCGGTATGGTTATTGTGCGTGCCACATAAAAGTAAAACGTTGAAAATTATTGAAATCGGACTAAAATAACGGCCGATTCTCATATAACGGTAAATTTCAGAAATGCTTGAAACTTCAATATTTCGAAATTGAAGGACGCTAATTTACTCAAAATTGATACACCTCGGCTTACCATCTAGCGGAAGGTTTCGGAAGGGTGAAAAAACATATATTTAATACTTGCGCCGGGTATTTAATGTTCGGCTCCGCCCGAACTTAGACTTTCTTACTTGTTTATGTATACATTTGTCTGTCGACCCTATTAAGCTGGCATTTAAGGGTACTATTTTATATATATATAAGGAAAATTTGAAAGTTAGAGGGGGGGCTCGAGCACCCCCTTCCCCTACCTGGCTACGCCCATGATTACATGAATGTTACTTCTTTACTACTGAAATAAAAGTTTTGAATTCCTAGGGAATTTTGTAGGATACATTTTTGGGATGTGGGTAATTGAGGGATTTTTTCACGATTTTCGCGGGTAATTTAACAGTGAATGTCTGGCATCACTGGGTCCTCCCTTTTTTAAACTATTATCATAAAACACATTGCTACACAAACGCGGTTATTAGATTTAGTATTTTGTAACTCCGTTGCTAACAAAGCAATGTTAAAATATCTTATGTTCGTATGTTAAAGCGTCGTTTGGTCCCTTATATACAAATATACTTTGAGAAAATCTCAGATGTTTTAATCAACAAAAAATTTAAATTTTTATTTTATGCAAGACCAAACAAGCCGAAAAATATTTTGATTTATTCGTTCAATTCTGAAATTTCGGAAAAACTATAATTTGTTCTAAAAAAGTGTGTACGATACGATTAGTGGAACCCATGATTCAATAATAGAAAGGTTTTGTAATAAAACAGTCTTCTCGCTCCCACACATAAAATCGGCTCCTTTACTTGTGCAGAATGTTGCTTACCCTATAGTTTCTAGTGATATTAGTAGTAAAACAAAAAATTCTTCATACTAAATATTCGTTGGCGTCACCTTCGTTTGCGTAATTTTCTAGAACGAGTGTAGAATAGCGACCGTTTAGCTATAAAATAACCAAAAATGCCGATTGATAGAACATTTTACGCTGATTTCAACGATACCAAATTTATTTGGCGCAGGTAAAAAAAAGAAGATATAAGAGGTTTATTTGTATTTTTTATTATCACTAAATTGTTGAAACCCAAAAGTAGATCATGATAAAATATGTAATATCGAATTGAAGATAATAACTTGTACTTTCTAAATAATATAAAATTCTTTACCATTAATTATGCAGTTTTTTCCAAAAAGGTTATTTCATGAAAAAATAATATTTTTTCGTTTTTTAGTGGTTTCGGTTTAAAAATACAAAAAGCTATAAATTATGTACATCAGCTGAAGAACAAATTAATTACTTTTATGGTGACGTCATTAGTTTTTCAATCGGTAGTAAAGTTCATAAGATATTAATATTTAAAGTATCTAAAAACTGAACTTTAACCTTCTGGAACCTCTTCATTTTTTAATTGCGCCAAATCATTTTAGTATGGTCGAAATGAGCATAAAAAGTTCTATTGATCTGCATTTTTCGTTTTTGCATAGCTAAACGGTCGGTATTCTAGATTTGCTCCCGGAAATGACGAATAACTTAAATCAAAAATGCATATTTTTATGTATGGTTTAGTATTTCCATTAAAACACCAAATATATTGCAAATTCGCATAGAATTAATAATACACATTTTACTTCTAATTTTATACTTTGCGTACTTTTTGTAGTACCATTCTACTACCGTTTTCGCAAAATGCGATCACATTCTTCCCTTTTCTCCTACTTACAAAATACAAATCTAGATAAAGGAGTGTCAAATTTAAGCTGTCACAAATTACACAACCTTGTATTATTGAATCATGAGTCCGATTAACCATCCAACCGATAAATATTCGTAAGAGTATCTTTAAAAAATGTTTTCGACTGTATCCTGATTTGTGAAGGTATTTCCTTATAAAAAAATTTAAGCCGAATCCACATTATGAAGTCCAAATGTATACGATTTGTAAAATAATGATCCCGTTATTAAATACTTTGAAGAAAATCACCATAGGCTTTATTTAACTCGGAAGAGAATTAAACTAATTTTATTTTATTTATTTATTTATTATTATTATTTATTTAAAAAGGTATTAACATATTCCCGCTTCCACCTCCCGTTACAGTACAGAAACTGTTTGGGTGGACTCAAAAATAAATAAGATCAAATTTTAATGAGATTCGGCTTATATTTTACTTATGATTGGTTGCACTCGCATATAAAAAATTACGAAAAATTAAAGAGTGGTAATCGCCTGTTTTGGCACACAAAACCCGTATTTTCGGCAAATTAACGAAGTGAGAAATTATAACAATTTGATCTTACTAACTCAAATTTAGTTCAGTGTAAGAGCATTGGCTGAAAGTAAATATTTATGTGTATTTCGCAATGAAGAGGTTACTGAACCGACCTTCTACGACTGCAACATGTGACCTACAAATGCAATCGTACGGTTTGCAACCCGACGGCTTGTAAACAATGTTTCGCCAACAGCTGATTGAAACTCAACGCAGCGTTAACAGAGTACGCTCGTAAACAAAACAAAAACCTCGTGTTGAGAGCAATCCATAGAGAAGGAGAGTGTCAGGTTAGCGCATGCGTGGGAGCAGGTATCCAGCATCGAAGGGAGAATTCTTGTGAAGCAGAGAGACGTCTGCGCAGCACAGCGATGTCATACAGAGGAATCTTGAAATTGATTTTATCCAGCATTCAGCATTGGCAGATAGATACGCACCTATTTGTCGAGGAAAAAATTTTCAAATTAAATTTTATTTAAGAGAATTTATAAATATGAAAAGAAATTAAATTAAAATTGGGTCAGTAACCAACTAAACTTAACGCCTACTGTTAATATTGTATTTGTGTGAGTCTAAATTCATAAAGTGTTCTTGTTTTCTAAGGGCGTGCCCGAAAAGAGGATATATTTGCAATCAAATGAATCCAGGAGGATTCTATTGAATTTTCGAAAACTCAAAATTGAAGGTTTTGTAATCAAGGGATAGAACTAACTACAAATATCGATGGATCGGAATCGTGTAACCCGTTGGGTGGGAAGTAGCCTGTGCCTGGCGCTGCTGCTATTGGCCTTCACGAAACTGGATAAAGGTACGACTGTACAGTAAAATATATTTTATTAGAAAATTGGAAATATCTTTATAAATACTAACTCAAATGCAAATATTTCACGGCACACGCCGTAGTATCAAATAATATTATTGCATTAGCATTGCATTGTCTAGGAAATGCTGTAAATGTATGTATATGTATTAAAACCATTGAAGCTGCCTATTAAACCTATTATATTTTTTTTTAGCTTTATGTAACAGTATGGAGCGAATGATTTGATTTTTTTCTGATTTCATGCAAAAAGAGTTTTGACAAATATTTAAAGTTTTTCGCGATGGAGGAAAATTTTAAAATTTGCCAAAGCTTAAGTCCCCTACAAAATTATGAATTATAGAATAGTACAGCTGACCGCCTTCAAAATTTGCAGAGTAGTCTCCACTTCCCCTAGGAAATCCGAGCGCGTCCTTTTTGTCCCCATTGCTACCAGTTATTCGAAGCGACCCTTTTCTTTTGAATACTTTTTCATTTGCTTACCAATCGCTTACCATCAATGCATCTAACCACTTTTTACGAACGTATGTATATATGTATGTGTACATAAGTTCATGCCTATTAGTGCTGAAATCGAAATTAAAAAAAATATATATATATTTTGCTAAAAAATTATTTTTTGCGTTTTATTAGAACTGTAGAAATGCGCAACCTTTGTACAGTATACAATCTAACTGTAATTGCAAAAATGTAATGAACCATGTGTTTAATGCTTCAAATGCATCTTAAAATTTGACATTTCGTGTTATTCATACTTGCAACTAGTGTAAGTATTTACTAAGTATTTTACTTATGTATATTGAAAAGCATATGTCATACATACATACATATATGTACAAATCTAATGCAATCGCAACAACAACAACAACAAAAATGCAAGTTTCCTGGCTGTGAATGACACTTTTTCAGTTGTATTGAGAGGCAAGCAGGAACAGCAGAAACGAAATCGAGCTAATAAGAGATTTATAAGGGAGAACTGAAAAATTAGCAATTGCCTAGTAATTATTCATCGTCCAGAAAACGTTGTTTAACATACATAGATAAATACATACGTACTTATTATACTACATACATACCTACATCATGTAAACAAATGCTTAAATAGTGTCTGTTTCTTTCCCTCTACAGCCTCCCGCACGCAGCAATTATTACTTTATTAAATTTGTGTCAGCGGCTGAAAATTGCTGGTGCACAATACAATAAAAGCAACCACTTAAGAAATATATATTTGTATATGTGTATTGCAATTTTGTAATGAAAAAAAAAAACAAGATTTCTGTATTAACTGCCGAATCTTAATTCATACTCCTTCTGAAACCGAGCATTTTCAGAACAAAACCAACCAAAGAAAGAATAACAGTAGAAAGAAGCGTTGAGATGAAATGTGAAAACCAGAAAGAGCACAAAGCTGCACATGCAAACTTTAAAGCACCACGCATCGAAAATACAAAATTAAAATTATTTTTGCAACAGTAGATACATTCAAAAACGACAATATTCTTGCAGCACTTTTAACCGTGAAACCAGTCTACTAATGGATTTACATACCTAACCTTTGCCTTCAGTAGTTAAAAAAGAAGCAATTTGATAAAAAATAGTACTTCGAAGCAAATCTACCTAGAAATTAATCGACTATTCATCCATATTGTTTTTTTTTGTTTTGATCTTTGTGCTTACAACCATTTTCTATTCCTCTATCTCTGGTTCTCTCAATTTTTTACTCACCCTTACCGAATATTGATAGGCAACACTCTATGTAGTTAAGGCTTCTCAGAGCGCAACAAACGGCCATCGTCAGAACACCCGTACAACCACTTTTATCAACAATTACATTTGTTTACACTCTCCATATATTTAATATATGTCTGTCATCTACCCCTTCACTTTGACTCTATTCTATACAATTGCATTTATTAAGCTTTCTCTTTTCCAAAATGTTTTTTCATCGCATTGGAATTCTTTTATTTTGATTTCACTGCTTGAAGAGACCGTTTCCCTCAAATTTTGCATGAAAATTTTAACATACCCTCAAACGGATATACGAAATGGTACTATGTATAGTCGTATTGGTATCAACATAGAAATAAGTCGTGAAAATTATCGCAGTGACTTGCATGTGAAATCTGTAAAGGCTCATAAAATATAAAAAATAACAAAATTTAATTATTCCCTTCCATCAATTAAAAACCAATACATATATTTTTTTACTCGATGAAATTCCCGTTAGGCTTCTAGTGCTGTATTCATTACTAAAGTTAGAACCCCACATCGAGCTTTTCAAGCGTTGTTGCCTTCGGCACTGCGGCCGAATATAAAAGCTATAGCTGATTAAGGCGTTGAGGGCCTGAAAAGTGTTGTGTGGAGTCCTACTATAAGGTATGCAGAGTTTTAAAAAGTTCTTAGGTATTACTTTAAATGGAATGGAAGGATTTATTACTAATACAACAAGTCATATGTAGTATTAAAAAATTCACTTCCTGAAAGTCTTATTTAAAAATAATTTTATCCGAATCGTTATTTAAAAAAAAAATAAACATAAACATTTAGCATCTGCTTTTTCTTAAAATTTCATACCTGAAGTTTTAAGAATAAGCATTTTCTAAGGTTTTATCCATACCGCCCATTATTTCAGAATGTTTAAGAAAGTTTGAATTCATAAGAGTGCTCTCCATTTCAACCTGCTTACAAATGTTTGGAATATGAAACCATTCATAGTGTGGCATAGCCGTCCTCCCTTGTCACGTATGTATGTAGTTATGTCACAGTAGCACAGTTTGATATATTTGCACCGATTTAGTCCAAAACAACGCAGAAACTTGCAAATATTACGAATTAAGTAGCTCAGAAAGATTTAGGTAGCTGTCATCATAGTCTATTACTAAGTTCATACATACATACATCAGCCTTCCGTTGCCAGCATTTGCAAGCTCTGAAGTTTTAAAATTTTAAAGTTTTTAGTTCTAAAGTTTATTCATATCAACATTGTAGGAAAAAGTTCGTCTGCTCTGGATCGTTAAATTGCATGCAGTTCTTAAATGGGTACACTGTCATCACTTTTGTTTTATTTCGTTTTCACATTATGTTACAAATTTTCTCTAAATACCTCTGGAAACTCTGTAATGACATAAGGTGTAGGCAGACGTTGCATATACATATAAGAGCTATTAATAAACTTTTTAAATTGCAAACCATATTTTGATACTAACTTCCTCTTTTACGGTGAATTTAGGCAGTTTTGCAAGGTCCTGAAAATGAATTAGAGTTCCTCATGGATTGTAAAATTTTAAGAAGGAACGTTGTTATCTAAAAAAATATTTGTTTGATCTAAATATATATGCAGGAATGGTGTCCAGCACTTAATCTATGTTGCCTCCAAATTTCATAAATATACGCGAATACCCGTTTTCACTTTGCTTAGCAGATTTAACAGAAAACAATCACTTTGTGCAAAAAGTAAGGAGCCAAATTCGAATTTATTAAAAGTTTTGTAGTTTTGTAGATATTTTATATGTATGTATTACCTTGTTTATACTTACGAGAGAGCCGCATTAACAAAAGCCCGATCTGACTAAACACATATTTCAAGCGTTTATACCGGTGTAACTTCAGCGAACTCGCTGAAACCGTATTCAAAATTAAACAAAAGTTGTTATTTTCATTCGATATTTCTTTAATAAATAATTAGCGCGGTGGACCGAAATGGAAGCGAACAATAACTCAAATTTGTTAAAATAAGGATTAAATTTTAAGACGAACTGTGTGAAAACCAGCCTTTTTCACTTCGCGTCCGATGAGTGATGTGTTTATACCGGTTTTCTAACCGATATGAGAAACAAACAAGTAATTTTTAGCAAAAAACAAACCGACTTAAAAAAAATATATATATATATATATCTATATATTTCATGATTCAATGATCGGATCAAATTAGTACGGGACCACCTCTGAGACACTACCTTTCCGTTGCAAAAAGAATTATCGAAATCGGTTGACGTGACATAAAAAAAAAAAATAAAATATTCCGACGAACTGATAACCTCCTCCTTTTTTGGAAGTCGGTTTAAAAGCGATTTGAAAACAAATTCGAGTCAATACACTTTTGAATTTCTGAGCGTATTGAAAGTTGGTTTGTGCCTCCGCACAGTGGTTCAGAGCTCACATCTAGCACGACAAAATTCGTATCTCCTGCGAACCATGGCGGATTATTCTCAAATCTTAACATAGTAATCTACTTTAGAAGGAGCACATTTGAAGCTAAGTCTTTTGCTTCGATACCTCTACCGGTGCCGGAGCTATAGCCTAAATTATGGTCACAAGAAATGGATAAGATTCACTTTCCGTAAAATTATAAAAAATATGACAATATCAGTGTCAAATGGTGTGTTTTAATCCATACATATTTTCGGGTTGCCATCCAGTCAAAATTTTAAAGTTATATTACAATATGCGTTTTAATAATATTTCCGCGAGAATAATAATTGCTATAAGGGCCAAATTCACAGTGCGTATTTAACTCAAATCGGTAGCTGACTACAGATTTTTGTACTGAATTTGGCCCTAAATTTGTGTATTTTTATGTTGTTAACCATACATGAACTTCCAGGTATTAAGCAGATTTTTACTTTTTCCAACGCCCACATAAAAACAGTAGAATTTGTTTTTCTTAATATTGTTTTTATTTCTTTGAAACTTTGTTCTCTTTTCAAAAAAGATATTTTAAATTTTTAAACATATATTTAGCAACCTATTTTCTGCATTTAAGTTTTATAGTTTAATATGAAAATAAGTGTCCCCAACTTCGTATAATTTTGTGGATCGAAGACTTTAAAAACCACAACCTTAAGTTCTTTGTGTTATAAATATGTGTTTCTAAGCTTTTTATGCAGTCAGACTTGGCGAAGATTTTTATTTTTAACCACTCTCTAAATAACTCTAAATTACTTATTTTGTCCATTTTAAATGTGTAACTGTCCGTTTGACAAACGAGTCCAACTAGGCCTATTTTGATTGAAAATAATACGAGCAATACATTTTTATGTTTAGTAAACATCGTTCATTTGATATCCATATTGCAACAAGTATTACCTTAAGATGAACTACTAAAAGACTTAGTCTTAGTATGAACAAAACTCTATATATAAATAAATTGAAATTTAATATTAGGAAGTAACTTATGTACTTCTTAGGTAATTATAAAAAGCTGGCAACCTTTATTGGACAAGATCTTTTAATTTAGTTGAAAAATGCGATATGTACCTAATACAAACTTCTGTACAAGTCGTTAGAGCAGTCGAAAATACATACATATATTCTCATAATAATGTAAACCATCCAAAATGTATGTAAATTTGCATGAAAATTTGGCCAACTAACTTATGACAAAGCGATAGTTGTATAAAGAGGTGCACAGAGGAGGGCTTGTTTTTTATTTATCTCGATACAATAATATTGGAACTACAAAATAGTCATATTTTCAAAACTTGCAATCGCTTTTTTTAAATCTTCGGTGAAAATGTTTTTTTAATAAATAAATTCTTTCCTTTTAAACGAGATGTAACTTAAAGTAAATTATCTTTAATTCCCCTTTTCGCTTGTAAACGTAATAAAGAAAAACAAGTAAAAGCAAATAAGGGTAGCTGAAAGTAAATGAGATTATGAATTCCAATAAATGCACGTTTGATCAAAAGACTTTATTATATCGAACATTTTTTAAAAATAATTTTCTTACTTTGGTAACGTCATACGTTAAAAGTACCCATCATTCACTCACATATTTTACTGTAAATATGAGTGGTGGTTTATTGTTTTTACTTATGTCAGAAATTTGATTTAAGTCGCACAAAAATTTAGTTCTGAACCATAGTGCTCCGTTTCGAATCACAGCGAACTGGGTTAAAGCGCATTATATGTCGGTATAAACAAGGTATATGTATATATTTTTGTTCGATGATAAAAGTCTAAGTCTAAATCAAGAAGCGTATCTTTCGTCTTTGACGTGAATATCTGTTTGGTTTTTAGTTTTTTGATTCGATCAACCTCTCTCTGGAGGATCGTGACAGTTTACGCTCAATCATAAATCCTAAACCGAAGCTAGTCAACATTAAGACGCTCATTAACCTAAGTTTTTTAGTAGTATATTCCCTTGAATTTTTACTCATATTGAGCAGGCGCAAACGATCGGCCGCTATGGCTGAGTGGTTAAAGCTGCGTACTACCACTCCGTAGGACATGCGTTGTATCTTTTGCCTGAGCAGCATCTAAATATGATCGAGTTTTTTCTAGCAGCGGTCGCCCCTCGCAGCCAATGGCAAACTTCCGAGTACACTTCTGCCTTGAAAAAGTTTCTCATAAAACCATTTGCCGTTCATTTGCGGCGTTAAATTGTAGATCCATCCATTTGGGGTATATTTTCATAACGCACCCCAACTTGGAGGAGAAGCTTGTCCAAACACTTTTCAAAAGTTTAAGCGCCAAATTGATATTATTATTACTGAAATGCCTGCTTGCAGCTGCACCTCCTTGCGAAGAGAAACCTCTGGCCTTAGTGAGCCCACAAACCGAATAAGACAACGTAGCTTCACTAAAACTCCTTCTGTTCGGGATACAGAATACCGGGATCCAGAACATTTCTCTATGTACCGAAATCCCGGCATCACATCTCCGGGATCCCGAGACTTTTCTGATTTATTCCCATAATAAGGCGAGTTGTAGAGTCCGAGTGAAGTTGAAAATGAAAAAATTAATTCACGTGCATTTCCAATCCCTTATACTCATTGCAACGTCTGGCAACATCTTTACTGAGTAGGTACATTCCCTAACTAATTCCAAACTACTACATTTTAAAGTTTCTCATACATATCTATCAGTCTATCTCTAATTCTATTTACATACATACATTCTTGTTTAACTGTCTATCTATCTGTGGCAATGTGCATTTGACATTTAACCAATACTATTTTATTTGCATCATACATTTTATAAAATATAATTTACTCGTGTCTCTTAGTAAGTGCATCCGAAGATGAAGAACGCTTGGTACGTGATCTCTTTCGTGGGTATAACAAACTTATACGACCCGTTCAGAATATGACACAAAAAGTTGGAGTAAGATTTGGTTTGGCGTTCGTACAGCTAATCAATGTCGTAAGTGTGCATTACTACTACTACTACTACTACTACTCCACTCTACAGACCACAGTGAAATTCACTACAATGAAACTAACAACAACAAAGAAAACTTAACTGAAACTACATATGTTATTCCAACTTACAATAAGTACAACTACAAATGTACTTGATAACAGAACAGCCGACTTATAGTACGGTACGATACGTCTAAATACAGTTATTCGAAATCCATTTCTTACTCAGCGTCCATTTTGTATGTTCATTTGACAAACCATTAATTAACTTTTTTGTTTGATTTTTTTTTTTATCTCGGTTTGTGAATAGAGTTTTCGACTTTACTTAGGTACATACTTATTTAGATCACAGGTCATTTATAACGTAAATATTTACACGCATTAAATACCTAATTTTGTAAATTGTAAATAGTTATTGTATACATACTTGTACATTATTCACATGCTGTATTTACACGTCATAATTCATGTCGACATACAAAAATGCATTCTATAAGAATATCAAAAACAAAAATCACCAAATTACATATTCCTTTTCTCACTTTGAATTTTTTTTGATATTCCTACAAAACTTTTCACATGATTGATACAAAACTCCTCCCCTTCATCGTTTATGTACGAATTCTGAAACTGAAAATGTTATACTACATATACTCGTATATGTGTAACCGAATTCTAACGAATATCTGAAACTAAAATCAAAAAAATTTCAATACCAAACCCCAGAATGAGAAAAATCAAATTATGAAATCAAACGTTTGGTTACGTTTGGTTTGGTACGATTATCAATTGCAATGGGACGAGGCCGATTATGGTGGTATTGGCGTACTGCGTTTGCCGCCCGATAAGGTTTGGAAACCGGATATTGTGTTGTTCAATAAGTGAGTAAATAATGCAAATTATTTTAGTAAGAAATATTGTGTTATACATACATACGTAGGTATAGATTTTAATTTTAACTGCTCCTTTTTTACTTGGTATGCCTCTTCTAGAAAAAGTTATATATAAAAAAATCACTATAGAAATACTAGTTAAGAACATTGTTCTTATGAGTTTTGCCGTTTGAGAATTAGCTGTGCAGCGTAACTGATCTTTCTCAAATGGTAAAAGTTTTTCTTTTATATTAATCTTAGTTAATGTATCCGATTATATCACATGCATACTTCTAACCCTGTTAACTTCTTTTTATCATCCACTTACATTCACAAGTGCTGACGGCAACTACGAAGTACGCTACAAGTCCAATGTTCTCATCTATCCCACGGGTGAAGTGCTCTGGGTTCCGCCTGCAATCTATCAGAGCTCATGCACCATCGACGTCACCTATTTCCCGTTTGACCAACAGACGTGTATCATGAAATTTGGTTCGTGGACCTTCAACGGCGATCAGGTGTCGTTAGCACTGTACAACAACAAAAATTTCGTCGATCTATCCGACTATTGGAAATCCGGTACATGGGACATTATCGAAGTTCCGGCCTATCTAAACGTCTATGAAGGTGACGGTAATCATCCAACCGAGACGGATATCACGTTTTACATCATCATACGCCGCAAAACTTTGTTCTATACAGTGAATTTGATCTTGCCTACTGTGCTAATCTCATTCCTATGCGTCTTAGTATTCTATCTGCCTGCTGAGGCTGGCGAAAAGGTAATATCCAACCATTCTGTATTTACATACATATACACTTTGGTCTCTTTTTATGCGGATTTGAATTTATGCGGTTTGTCAAACCTTTATTTCGCAGTAGCGATTTTGCTTTTTTGAGACTTTTTATTACTTTTTTCAGTGTGTAAAAGACAATGCTTCTGATAAATAATTTGTCTTTGTATTCTTACATAATAATAATAATAATAGATTGGCGCTTACATATAAGTGGGGCTTCTCCTCCAATTTGTGGTGTGCGCCTTGATGTTGTCACACAAAGGGGAAGGACCTTCAGTTTTACGCCGACTCCGAACGACGATTGTATTTTTAAGAGAAGCTGTTTTTCATGGCAGAAATACACTCGGAGGTTTGCCATTGTCTGCCTAGGGGCGACCGCTGTTAAGAAAAAACCTGTTTTTCTAAATTTGTTTTTATGTATTCTTACATAATTCATGTATGTATTTATTGTGGTTTTTTTTATTTTTTTTTTTGGTTTAAATACAGTTAAAATTTTATTTATTTCATTAATGTTCGGTTTTACATGGAATAATAAGTATTGAAGTGAAGAAATAAATAGTTTTTTTTTTATCAATAATGCCTCACTGGATTTTTTAATGCGGTTTTTTAGAATTTTTTACATGGAGTATCTGAATTTATGCGATTTTTGAAAATGCTGGAACGCATCCCCTGTTTTTGTATGAAAGTGAAGAGCTTTTTTAAGCGGCTTTCTGAGGAACGCATGTACCGCATAAAAAGAGACCTAAGTGTATTCTTAAATAGCATCGGTATTTTTACTCTTTGTACATATGTAAACGAATATTCTATATGCACCCTGCAGTAAACCAAACAAACTTGCTTCTTATATCTACTGTATTTCCACTGCGCATTAAATGAAAAGGTATGAACGAAATATCGGGGTGCCTTGATTCCTCAAGGTCATCTAGAGGTCAGGCCAAGGTCAACCCAAGGTCGAATTTAGAAGAATTTTATTGAATTTTCAGGCTTATTCAATGAAGTTTTCCCTACTTGACCTTCAAATGACATCGAACCTGTTCGAAAATCGGTTTTTTTTTTATAATAGGAAAGTAAAACTATTGAAAACACTTTTCCCATCAGCTTTTGTCTATGAAGTCAACTTGAAATTTAACCAGAGAATTGAACTTCTAACAGGAGTGCCAGATCCACTAAACAATAGCGTTTTTCTTCACGTGACCAAGTTACAGCTTGGAATCGTGATCTTAGTACCGTTTTCTTAAGTAGGTTTCAAAATTTATCTTACCTAAAAACATTTTTTTTAAATTATGGTATAATGGGAAAATAAATTTTAAAACCTACACAGGAAACAGCCCTTAGACAACTTAGATTAGTATGGGAAAAATACACTTGTCTGAGAATACATATAAGCACTTTAGAGTGATCCAACAAAAGAAATTCGGAATTTTAATGCCGGCACCCCCTAGGATTGCTCTATACCGAAAAAATATACCCCTATTTTATATTTTTAAATCAAAATCTATTTAGGGAGTGCTCGGAGCGCTCAAGGTTTTCCAAGAAAAACTTTGAGCGCTTTGAGCACTCGCTAAATTTTTTTCACATCAAAATAAAAAATCTGGGGTATATTTTTTTCGGTGTCGAAAAATCCTAGGGGGTGCTGGCATTAAAATTCCGACTTTACTTTTTTCAATGCAATTTTGGGCCACTCTAATGTACTTATTGGAGCGACGACAAACGCAACAAAAAATTAAATATATGTGCAGTCAGTTCAACAAGAAAGGATGCGAGATTTCTTTCAATAGTTTAAGGATATCAAATCCAAATTCTGTAACATCAATATCTAAGTAAAATGCAAAAGAGCAATTGATTAATAAGCTCTTGAAACATCGCGAGCATTGGCAAAAAACCTGCACACAACTCGCATACTTTCGATTAGATACAACTAGCGGTAATAGAACGCCAAACCTTCCTAATATCACGTAAGGATTAAAATTTTTAGAAGACATTTTTACAAGCCGTTTTTTCATAATGCCTGATACGTTTTCAATTGAGTTCGCCTCGGAAGTTTAGTTAAATCAATTAATGGCTAAATGTGTGACGCGAGCCCAACAAATTTGCCTAAAAAGGTATCGTGCGAAATTGCAATCTATTAGTAATTGAGCAGATAAAAATACCTATTTTATTTTAATATCAAAAATCTCGACCCTTTCTTGAATTTTAACGAAATTCTTTACATTTGGTACAGATACTTACAAAGTTTTAGGTACATTTAGAACGATACCAAATTTGTTCTGAAGCAAACTTTCCTTTTTTTCCTTCACATTTTATATGCAACCGTTCCCCAATTCCCTCTTTCCTTTGCGTAGTTTCTCCAGTTATTAAAACGAAGTGTAGTCCATATTTAACGATCATTAGTTAAATGCTCGTTGACCCGAAAGTTCGAAATTTCATAATAATAATAATTTCATTTGAGCGATAACAATAAGTCTTATATCTGAACAATCAGTTGTATGGGAGCTATATGTTATAGTAGAGTCATTTTGCCAGTTTCGACAAATGATTAAAAATACACCAGCTTACCAAATTGCAGTAGGATATCTCGAAAACTGAGGGACAAAATTGCGTTCAAACAGACAGACCGACGGCTAAGTCGGCTCCGCTGGACATTCTGGTCATTTAAGTTAGTGTTGGGCAGTATCGATACCAACAGTACTCAGAACTCGATTTTCAAAAGGATCGGCAGCACCCAATTTTTAAAGGTATCGATACTGAGTACACCAAAGAACTCGTTTAAGAAAGTACTCAGTATTTTAAAAAATTCCCGATCCTTAAAAGTGTCGATACCAAAACACTCGGTCCTCGAAGGTACTCTATACTTCCCAAGTATACATTTTCATGGATCTATATCCTCTTCTTCTAGCATTTATGTACAAACATAGGAGCAAAGATATAATGCCATTTCATGTTCATGAAACATATAGATGAAAGTAAATTTGCCGGCTGTAGAATATGAACCCATGACCCTCGCGGCTCACTTAATCAGCGATACTGCCGTTTGTCGGGTCCAATTTTGAACAGTCAACTGCCCCGTTAATCCAGATTAACCGGCATGTATTGCAAGCCTTAGTCTGTAGAAGTAGACAAAATGTATAGAAAATTTAATGGGCTACAATCTGCTCAGGAACATGGGCTTGGAACCACAGTTTAAGCGTTACTGGCTTGTGAGTTGGATCAGGGTCTTCTTGTAATGTTCTTGGTCGACTTTCATTCAAGCTTTGATTTTAAATAAGAAATACATATGTATAAACTAAATAGAACATGTCGCTGATAGGCAAAGAGACTATAACAAATCAATAAACGGACTCTTAATGATGTAAATAATTCGTAATGAAATGTAAAAATTTTATGTTTATACCGAGGTTTTTGGAGTTGTGACAGTCTTTTAATAAATAAGCGATAGGTACAAAAAGATCCATATGTGCGCCATATTTTATGTCGGTAGGTAAACATTGAATAACTTTGGCATATATGAACCGAACGACTGAGGAGAAAATGTTTTAGAAACGTCAGTACAATTTTAACCATGAATCGCTTCACAACGAAACAACATAGTCGCCCGAACGGTTGGCACTGAACCTGATTTTTGGTAGCAAATTTTGATGACCGACGAGGCCAATTTCACACTGGCGCCGCATAGTGGGGCAAAAATGGTTGCTGCGGTCAAATCAATTTTGAGAGCACAAATATGAACCGATTTAAAGTTCATTTTTTTTTAATTATAATTAAATTTCGCGTCGATCTATTCGTGGCGATTATTTTAAAAAGCTCTAGTTTTTTACTTGGTTATGGTGAAAAATGGAAGACAAAAATTTTTACGTTCCAATGCTTCCACTTTTTTGGAAAATACTTGAAATTAATTACAAATGTCTGCAATTATTTGAAAAATTATTCATAAATATTTTTCCATAGGATACATTTACTAATATATGTATATTTTGAAAGCCGTTTTTTTATATTTTTGCAATTTTGGACATCGACCCCAGACTATCCAGGGATGATAATAGATGAAAAACAATTTCGATATATCAAGGGGCACCCATACAAACTGAATTTCTCACAACCCATACATATTCTTATGTGAGAAATTCAGTTTGTGTAGGAGGTGCCCGCCACGTTTTTCAATAACTCCCATTTTTTTGCATGAGTTCGGCGTTGATATTATATATCTCCATACTAAGTTGCAGCACTCTACGATGAATACTTCCAGAGATATGTTGTTTGACAACTTCAGTTTGTATGGGAGGTGCAACGCCCCCTTGATATATCGAAATTATTTTTCTTCTATTATCATCCTTTGGTAGTCTAGAGTCGATGTCCCCCGGCTCTGTTCTTGCTTTTTATAAACGATATTTCTACAGATATACAACTTTCCANGTTTGTATGGGAGGTGCAACGCCCCCTTGATATATCGAAATTATTTTTCTTCTATTATCATCCTTTGGTAGTCTAGAGTCGATGTCCCCCGGCTCTGTTCTTGCTTTTTATAAACGATATTTCTACAGATATACAACTTTCCAAAATTTTAATGATATAAAGCTTTATAAATCGTGCGTTTCAATTAAAGAAAGGTCTTTGCTACAATCAAACTTAAACAGCATGGCTACTGGTGTCAAGTAAATCTTATGCCTCTAAATCTTAAGAAGAGCTGTTCACCCCGCTTCTTAAGCTTTCTAAGCTTAATTTTAATTTTCATATTAATGTGACAGTCAACCGGGCTAAAGGTGTACTTGCATTTGTGAAACGATGGTCAAAATAATTTTGTGACCCTTATATCACTAAAACCCTGTTTACAACATTAGTTAGGCCAATTCTGGAATACGGTTCGGTGGTTTAGAATCCAAGGTATCAAATTTACTCAGACAAGATCGAATCAATGCAAGAACAATTCCTACGATTTGCTTTAAGAAATTTCCATTGGGATTCTCAATATAACCTTCCACCTTATACGAGCCGATTAAAACGTACTAGTATCGCCCAGTTGTCGAAATTCGACATCTTTTTTCATACACTTTTGAATTTTACCTGTCACCAATACTAAATCCTTTATGCGAATTAGTATTTCGAAGTCCACCAGCATAATTTATAACGAATTTACAGGAAAACTTAAAATCGAATTATGAACGTTAATACCGGATTGATTAATGGTAATTCTACTAAGTCTCCTTCTCAGTAGCTTTTGAAAATATACCAAAAAAAACCTCGATTTTCATTTATAAAAAATATGCATATGTATTAGTATGTATAGATGAGATGTTCATTACTGACTGATATGTCAAACAATTCAGACTGTAAATAAGTCCGTAAGTACGGTAGTGACAGCATATGTTGCTGTGTGAAATTTCAGAACGTTAGCATAGGCGTTATGAGAATTAGAGTTTGTATTCCCTTTTCCAAAATCTACCACTTTTCGCCGTAAGTACGGTACTGACAATATATGTCAAGTTTCAGGACCTCAGCATAAGCGGTTCCAGAGATAAGCGATATGNTTTCGCTGTAAGTACGGTACTGACAATATATGTTGCTGTGTCAAGTTTCAGGACCTCAGCATAAGCGGTTCCAGAGATAAGCGATATGAGAATTGCAGTTTGTATAAGCGGTGCCACGCCCTCTTTTCCAGAATCTACCACTTTTCGCCGTAAGTACGGTACTGACAATATATGTCAAGTTTCAGGACCTCAGCATAAGCGGTTCCAGAGATAAGCGATATGAGAATTGCAGTTTGTATAAGCGGTGCCACGCCCTCTTTTCCAGAATCTACCACTTTTCGCCATAAGTACGTTATTGACAACGTATGTTGCTGTGTAAAATTTCAGGATGTCAGCTTAGGCGGTTACAGAGATGGCCGATAAGAGAATTTCAGTTTGTATGGGAAGTGCCACGCCCACTTTTCCAGTACCTACCATTTTTCACCGTAAGTAGGGTATTTATAATCTATGCATCTATGCTAAGTTTCAGTTCCCCAGCATAATTGGTTTTAGAGATATAGTGGTTTTCACATTTTAGTCTATATGTCAGATGCCACGCCCCCTATGTGTCGCGATTAATATTTCTCGATTAGAGGAAGTAATGTCCTTTAAACCGATGTATGTTTCATTGAAATCGAGCGACCGGTGCCTTCAAAAAAGGGATTGCAAAATTTTCTTGTGGCATATTTATATATCTTCCTACACTTTCCAGCCGCAGGCAAATGCTTGGTACAATTTTTATAGTTAAATTACTAACAGGCTCAATTTCAAGTCCGCTTCTTATTGGCGAAGATAGCCTTAATGTTCCCTCCCGGGTATCAAGACACTTTTTTCGCCTACTTCTGAAAGCTTGTAAACTAATTTTGAATTGCACGACCCGCTCCGTTGCTTATGCCAGGATTTTAACTCTCATTCCAGCACGTTTGATATATCAGATCCGCTTTTCAGCATTAAGAAATCGATACTGTGCTCTCTCAATAAATGAATAATTAAAATAAAGACATAAAATCGGCTGATGAATTTAGTTCTGTAGCTGAACAGTTTTAGATCTCGACACTTAACAAACTCCTGCCTATCGTGACTCGGCGCAAAAATTGAAAATACTGGTTCCGTACGTCTTGCGGATGGGCCGGAATGGAGGGTAAAAACCGTTGGGATTATTATTATTATTAAAAACTACGGCTTTCACAATATATGTGTATTAGTATAGATGACAAATTAAAAATATTTTTTAATTAAATACATCCTATGGAAAAATGTTTATGAATAATTTTTTAAATAGTTCCAGGCATTTGAAATTAATTTCAAGTATTTTCCAAAAAAATAGAAGCATTCAAACGTAAAATTTTTTTTCTTTCATTTTTCCACATAAATAAACAAAAAACTAGAGCTTCTTTAAAAAATCGCCATGGATAGATCGACGCGAAATTTAATTATCTCTTATTTAAAAGAAAAAAGAAACGTGAAATCGATTCATATTTGGGCTCTCAAGATTGATTTGTCCACAGCACCATTTTTTGCCCCACTGTGCGCCGTTAACAAGCAAGATTAGGGACACGAATTTCGATACGATACGATACCATATCGATACTTTTGGCATTCTATACTGATATTTTTTACTCGATAGTTTTAAAGCGATATCTTTTGGAATCGAGTACCAGAACCCTAGTATCGTATGGAATGCCTAAAACTCGAATTAATAAGATAATCACCCTCATTGTGAGAGTCGTATAGAATGCAAGTCGTTTTTCGAGGGTCGAATCATATCGATAATTTCACGTCATCGCCTAAAATTTTCACTCGACTAGTGTATTAAAACGGAAAAACTTGGCAGCACTGTATAGTTTCCGACGGTTTTCGTCGTTTACTTATTTCGGCACGACAGTAGACAATGCCTAATTTACGACTTACGCGATGAGGATGCATGTGACTAACAATTCTCCCCGATATAAATTGGGATTTAAAGAAGAGACATTTGTATTATAGTTTAGATTGCATGTAGCGGGATTTTAACCCACGGCCTCGGTGTCTTTAGTCAACATCTCTACGTGTAAAAATAATAATAGATTGGCGGTTACACAATATGTTAGTGTTTGGCCCAGCTTCTCCTCCGATTTGTCGCGTGGCCTTGGTGTTGTGCCATAAAAGGGGTCCCTACTGTTACGCCGAATCTAAACGGCGATTTTATTTTTTTATGAGAAGCTGTTTTTCTTGGCAGAAATACACTTGGAGGTTTGCACACTTCTAGTCATTATACCACAGCGGCCTACATACGACACCAATGTTGAGAAATTTTTTGGATTTTGGCATCGATATTTGGGATATCGAGTCTTTTTATTCCGATATTAATGGGTACCCGATATTTTTACAGCGATACTTTAATAAGTACCATATCGATACTCTCCGTTCGATATCGTGTCCCTTAGCAATATTACTAGCCATTTTTCTTCAGAGCGACAGTCGATTGGAATCGATATCGCTGAATGTGGGTTTATTATGTCAACAAGACGGTGCGCCATTGCATATTTTTTTTTTAAGTCATTCGATATTCACAATATTGCTAGCTTAAAAAGTTGCTAAGTCCACGTTTGTGTAAACTGATATTTTGATATAAGTAAAAAGCAACAGAAAATAAAAATGCATCGTTTCTAAAAGAATTAAGGTACTTGTTTTATTTCTTTCCGTTTATATTCAACAAAATTCAAACTCCTTAAGAGAATCAGAACGCACAATAAGCCCAAAATAATACGAAATATTTTAGTAAAAATCGAAATCTTCCGATTCGTATTGAGCTTTGTTTTGCTTTGATCGCGCAAAATCTTCGATTGTGAAGAGTACCTGAAGTAATTGCTGTAAAATTAAAAAAAATGGGCTTAGCAGCTTGCGATATAAACATACTAAAGGCTGTCGCAAGATGTTACTGCAGGGTGTAGATACTGACTTTAACATTGTGAAATTTATTAATATTTGTAACTTATCAATTTTCTTTCATATAACCTCACTAGGTCACATTAGGCATAAGCATTCTGCTGTCGCTGGTTGTGTTCCTGCTGCTCGTATCAAAGATTCTTCCGCCAACCTCGTTGGTGCTGCCACTGATTGCCAAGTACTTGCTATTCACTTTTATTATGAATACGGTCTCAATTCTGGTGACAGTGATCATCATTAACTGGAACTTTCGCGGTCCACGCACACATCGCATGCCCATGTGGATACGGACTGTTTTTCTACACTATCTTCCTGCCTTTTTGTTAATGAAACGTCCGCGCAAAACAAGACTGCGTTGGATGATGGAAATGCCTGGAATGAGTATGCCAGCTCATCCACATCCATCTTATGGGTCACCAGCTGAATTACCAAAGCACATCAGGTATGAAATGCTCATAAGCCGTCACCGCCACACCAATATTTACCTACATAAAGCTTTACTATTTACATTTGTAAATATTTTATTTTGATCTGATAAGTATATATTTAGCCCTAACTAGCTACTGCTGGTATTTATAAAACTTAGGACTCTAAAATCCCGAGCTAATTGTATTTGTTTTTACCGTTTTTGTTGCAGTAACTACGGGCGCTTAGAAGTGTATAAAGAAAATACTCGAAAATTAATCCTTTTTAATGCGAAATTGTTGTACTTTAATAAGAAAACGAGAGTTAATGAAAACAAAAAAAAAATAAATTCTGCTAAAAGTCCCTTTATTATACTACTCAGTTTAACTATTCAAGAAAGAGTTCCCATTTTAGTATTTCTTACGTTAAAGTTTATTAAATAAAGGTTCTTATAAGGGTTTTGTGAGCTCCCATTAACTTAGCTTAGATTATTACAAATATTTCTGTATTTTCTTATTCTTTTATATAACATTGTAACATTGTAAACATTTATTGATTTTCCAACCGCCTTTCGCGATATTCCGCAATTTCAAGTACACTACCACTCAAAGTTCTTAAACTCTTTATAAAAATAGTAAGGACGTCTGATTTATTAATAACATTATAAATATTTACTTAAATTTTTCGAAATAAAATCCGCTAATACCACATACAATAGAACCAGTTGTTCCATTTACCCCATTTTTAAGGTAAATAATAAAGCCCACAATACGAATAATTTTATTTCCAAGATTTTTATATTATTACATTTATTTTCACAATAAATAATTTAAACAACTTAAATTACTAAGCACGAGGTTTTCCAGGATTTTATTATGTAACGTTTTCTGATTTGAAAAATCAAAAGAAATCAACAAAAAATACCTTAGTTTAGTCAGAAAGGCCTTTGCGTGATTTGATTTTTTGAAATCAACAAAAAACTCCTTAGTTTAGCCAGAAAGGCCTTTGCTTTAACACATACCGAATTAAAAGCAAAAATTGACACAAAAAATAAAAAAATTAAGAAATATACATGCATACTGGAAAGTAAATTTATAAGTTATTTGTGTATTTAGGTTAAAAATTAAATTTGGTCGCAATTTTCTCCCAAATATTGCGTTTCGGACATTATTTCGGAGTAGCGATGGGTCATGGGGGGTTGAAATTCGGTTTTCTCCTTATTTCGATTAATGTACAACCATTCGATTATTCGATTCGAAATTTGGAGTTGCAAATTCGATNTACTTTCGGAGTAGCGATGGGTCATGGGGGGTTGAAATTCGGTTTTCTCCTTATTTCGATTATTGTACAACCATTCGATTATTCGATTCGAAATTTGGAGTTGCAAATTCGATTTGATTCGAATTTCTAAAATTTCAAAGTTTGTTTCTAAGAATGATAACTAAAATAAAAAAAGAGTTTTGGAGTTCCGAAATGCTCGCTCGCTGACTGAGCAGTTTATGTACGTATACTTACCGTCGTTTAAAGTGCAAAACCGCGTATCAACAAAATGCAAAACCGCGTATGAGCAAAATGCAAAACCGCGTATGTGAACTTGTATAAATTATTTTCTAGAGCGTAAACACACTCATATTTCAAAATGGTTCTCTGTTTTATAAAGCAATCGCATTTCTGGCTTTATTTCAGGACGAATGGATAAGGATTGAGCCAAGAGCTTGTGTGAGCAAATCCAATTTTTGGCAGCCAATGTCAGTTACGCGGTTTTGCAGAATGACGATACGCGGTTTTGTACTTTAAACGACGATATGAGTGTTTTCGTTTTTCCCATTATTTTTTTAAACACGTTTGAAATACTAAAAATATTTTGATTCTGCTCATTCAAATATGTGATTTTTTAGTTTCTGCTTTACTCAAGACATATTAAATAAGGTAGAAGCGATTTCGAAATTTCTCTCTTTTGAACATCGACTATAATATCTAATGATAAATAACTTTTAACTCTTTTCAACTTGGCATTTTCTATTTTTCGTTAAAAATTCTATTGCATGCTGTGAGGTAGTTTTGAATTGTGTAATTTTTTTTTCGTTTTTCGACCACATCCTTTTATAGATACATATACAAAAATGAAAAGAAGCAGGAACGCAGGAAGCGTTAAAGTGGTGCGATATTTTAAGGCGCGTAGTTGCGAAGTTAGAAGACTTCGTTGGGAGAACAGCTGCGGTGTTCAATTGGAAGATTCTTCCCGCGTCATTTCAACGCGGTTTTATTACAGGCCCATTGCAGGCAAATATTTTTAAGCGCATGCGTTTATACTCAGGTACTATTCCCTTGGCTTGGGAAGTTTCTGTGCCTGAAATGCCAGAAGCATACGAAAGTTCAAAGTTCAGAAGTGACAATATCATCTGTTGACGGGCCCATACATGATATCAGCAATTTTTAGCAACTTAAATGGGAAAGAGATCTGTCATTTAAAAAATTTTATCAACAAATTGTTAGAGTTAATCCGCATATAAATTTGCAAGAAAACATTAAATCATTTGTTTATAAGTGCGGAATGTTTTTTAGAATTAACTATTTAAATCAGAAATTAAAGGCAAAAAAATATTGGGCGAATAAAAACAAATAAATTGTTTAAAATAGTTTAATAAAGCACCGTTCATTATATTTGCGTGGCTTCCTTTATGAGGCATTCGTTTCTGTCCATATGTATATGTGCATATAAAATGGCAATGCAATTAAAATTCTTTGAAGGTATATTGAAGTAATTCTTAAAATTAGTATACTTACATATCTGTCTTCATATGGAAAAGTAGCTTATGTCGAAAGGCTAGCTTTAGTATAAATCGGCATTCGCAGCATACAATTGCGAATGACTCACTGGCGCTAAGCCGTTGAACAACTTCTGGCAAATAAACGTGGGACAAATAGTTCCGATCAGGGACCGTAACAGTTACAACTTTTATTAAAAAAATCACTCTTTAACAATTATTTTTTTTCTTTTATTAAATTACTCTTTAAATAACCGTTATTTCTGACTTTTATTTTATAAATCGAAAATAACAATTATTTTTGATTTTTATTTAAATAATCTGCAAAGAACAGTTATTTTTGATTTTTAAATTATATGTCTTAAATAACAGTTATTGAAGACTTTTATTTATAAAAGTCATAAATAAAAATCCGTCACTGATCTTTATTTTTTCAATCATACTTACAAAAGTCATTTGAATAAGTCGTAGTAAACTTTTGTTTTCAACACCTTATTAACTGCGAAAAATGTTAATGACTTTTATACGAAGAACATTTCCTTCATAGCGAATTTTTTCATGACAGTTTTCATCAATAACTGTTATGTTCGGTCCCTGGTTCCGATACTAACAAGTCAATATTCTTGTTAAGTCTCATCAAAAATTCCTTGCCGTTGAAAGAATAAAGGGAATTCCGCATTATACTAAAGTCAGCCTTACCACAAAAAAATTTGGCTTTATCTGCAGAATTACATGAAATATTATTATATCTAGCCCTTTAAGAAATTTAGATATTAGGATATTGCTTTGATTTGGATCCTATTTATTGGAAATATGAACAAAGGAATGGTTAAGAAGTAGCTTATGGTCAATTAAAGCACCATGGAAGCATAAACTTATTTCTGATAACGCTTGATGTAGTCATGAAGAGGGAGGCAAAAAATGTCCTAATTCTTGGAGCTCCTTGTTATAGTTTATAGACAGATAAACTACTCGCTCTACTGCTGCTGGTGCCGCGTTTCGCTCAGATTGGGCACATCTGTCCCGAGGCTGAAAATTTTCTGCCGAAAAGTTATTGGAACAAACAAATAACACCTTTGTGAAGTTACCATGTACTTGACCCGATATATTCAGCTAATCGTACTAAATAATAGTGAAAATAATTGCATAAACAAATAGATTCTCTATGTGCATTACCTGTAATATGAGTAATTCACTTGCCTTCCGTTTTATATATAACTAGCTTTAAGCCGCGGGTTTCACCCCACGTCTTTATAAAAATATGAAAAATACTTTATGTAAAGAAGTTATGCTCTCTGCTCTAATTTTACTATAGCAGCATACGGTAGGACAGCTGTAAGCTTGGGTGTTATGGAATGAAATGCAATAATAATTTTTTGGCACTGCAGGTGTTTTTATTTAGGATAAAATATCTCCAATAAATTATATAATAGAAGAAATACTATCTAATTTCTTACGAATAATAACTCTAATATGATTTCACAGCATTTTTTTAATACTTCAAAATATCTATTAACATAAATGCGTTTACCAATACCATTATCATTTATTTTATTTTCGGTAAAGTTTCGGGTTTTACTTTAAGGCATTCTTGTTTATTGTCATTGCAAAAGCTAAGTGAACTGGAAACTGATAAGCACCTACCATTGATGTGTTTGCATACCAAATTCCAATGTTATGGCTGATTAAAAATTCTCCGACTATGAGATATGCCACGCCCCCTACTACAAAGTCATTTATATATACCTTACTATAAGCATCTACCATAGATTAGTCTGCCTACCAAATTTCAAGTTCATGTGACTTATGGTTCCGAAGTTATAGTTGATTAAAAATTTGCAGTCCTATGGGAGGTACCACGCCTCCTCGCAAAATTTACACCATATTTGCAAACAAAACCATACCTATAACCTTCCCGGGGTAAAAACAAATAAGTGTGCAAAGCTTCGTGCGATTCCGTATAGTGGTTCAAAAGTTATAAGGTAATAAACAAACAGACATTCACATTTATATGTATAGAAGAGTTTGATAATAAACCACTTAAAGCTCGCTGTAAAATTATGCTCAAAATGTATTTATTCAAATAATTTTTTTAACTATTTTCCAAATAATTTTTTATTTTTTAAGTAAAAACCCACTTTTTAAATATGGTAGCTTTAGTCTAAATGAAAATGTCAAAAGCACAGTTTACGTCAAATGGGAGCAATGGCGAATAAGAAGAAGAAGTGACTCTACCTTTTAATATTTATATCATGGCCAGATGGGAATATGCGCTCTCTGGGAAGACAATAACTGTAATTATTGTATTGTATAAAATTGTTAAAGCTGCCGGCGATAGTGTAGCAAAGCTTTTGTGGCAAATTCTAGATATCAACCTAGTCTAGATATAAATCTCGTTGTAGGAATTAGAAGACTCCAGATGTCCCCCGCCAGGAGAAGTTAAATATTGCGCCTAAATATATGCCCTGTTTACTTATGCTACAGCGGAAATGGACGACACGCCATTTCTTTAAATAAAATTAACTGCTACTATATGTACAATGTATGTCTATACAAAACGTAAGCAAACAGTTTGCTTGCATAGTCTTCTGTTCTCTTTCATTGCAAGTTGAATTATTTTAATATCTATTGCAAAATTTCGTACATAAAATAAAATAACACTTTTTAATATACAACGCTTTTATAAATGGACTAAAATTAAAAAATAAAATAATGTAAAAAAAAAAAATATTTTTTAAAAACAAGCTTTTATTTAACATGTACAATCAAAGGAATAAAATAAAGTGGTGTAACAAAAGATTTTTTAGCAAGAAAATTTTGTCAAAACTGCACTAAAATGAATAAAATAAAATACGTTAAGGTCTCGTTAAAGTTACTAAAAGCCATTTAGTGAAAGGAGTTATTCAAACTCTAATGAAAACAAGTAAGAAAGTCTAAGTTCGGGCGGAGCCGAACATTAAATACCCGGCGCAAATATTAAATAAATGTTTTTTCACCTTTCGGAAACCTACCGCTAGATGGTTAGATAGGGTGTATCAATTTTGAGTAAATTAGCGTCCTTAAATTTCGAAATATTGCAGTTTCAAGCAGTTCTGAAATTTACCGTTATATGAAAAGCGGCCGTAATTCTAGTCCGATTTCAATAATTTTCAACGTTTTGCTTTTATTTGGCAAGCACAATAACCATACCGAGTTTGGTACAAATTGGTAGAACGGTTAACGAGATACATATATGTATGTGATCATAAGTGGGCGGAGCCACGCCCATTTTCCACAATTTTATCATAAACGTATTTCCTGGTAAAGAACTGTTGCAACCATCAATTTTGAATAAATTAGCTTCAATATTTACTGATTTATCGAGGATTTCGTATTTCTCGAAATTACCGTTATATGGGATGTGGGCGTGGTTATTGTTATTTTCGGCCATTTGGTATCCCGTACCAAGGTCAATAAATGTACCAAGTTTGGAAGAAATCGGTGCAGCGGTTGCCAAGATATACAAATGTAACCATAAGTGGGCGTAGCTACGCCCATTTTTCAAAAATTTATAATATTCTTATTTTTCGCTTAAAAATTATTGTAAATATAAATTTTGAGTGAATAATCTTCAGTAGTTACTAAAATATCGCAGTTTTCGTATTTCTGAAAATTACCGTTATATGGGAGGTAGGCGTGGTTATTTTCCGATTTTTCCCATTTTCAATACCATCCGTCCTACGCCCGAAAGAAGTACACATACCAAGTTTCGTTAAGATATATTAATTTTTACTCGAGTTATCGTGTGCACAGACGGACGGACAGACGGACGGACGGACAGACAGTCACCGCTTAATCGATTTCTCTTTTCATTCTGATCATTTATGTATACATTTGTCTATATCTATCTCGATTCGTTTTGCCTGTTACAAACAACCGTTATGTGAACAAAGTTATAATACCCTTGTGCACAAGTGCGCTCGGGTATAATTACTAACAATTACGCTTGTCGGCGAATTCAGCGTACATGCATAATTGGTTAGGTATGTATGTATGTATATGTATGTATGCAGATATTTAAATGCCGGTTTGCTATTCTCGCGACAAGCTTTTTTAAAAACGAAGTAAATTAGCCCAAATTGTTAGTAATTTTCATTAGAGTTTGAATAACTCCTTTCACTAAATGGCTTTTAGTAGCAGTTTTGACAAAATTTTCTTGCTAAAAAATCTTTGGTTACACTACTTTATTTTATTGCTTTGATTGTACATGTTAAATAAAAGCTTGTTTTTAAAAAAATATTTTTTTTTACATTATTTCATTTTATTTATGAATTTATTTGTATAAGTGGAATGTGTAACTATTTAGATCAATAAATACAATTCACTCTGAGTTAGGGTTGCCAGATTTTGAAACGGAGAAAGGAGTACATTCATATTTTCGATAGCAAAAAAGCAGTACATGACATAAATAAGGAGTAAATTTTTTTTTTTTAATTTTTTGTGCAATTTATTGTTACAAATTACCATTAATTAGGTACAAACAATAGGGAGGTTGTTAAAGAGATAGTCATCGAAGGGGGAGTGGACGTGGCACCTTTTCCGACCTTTTTGGAGAGGGCATGAACCACCATTGACAAAAATGTTACTCCCGACCACATAGGGCCCCTATGGGTCCCCAGGGAACCCTTTTAAAAATTGGTAAAAGTCACAATTTTCCCTTGCGTCCACAGTATTTTTGCGTAGAATTCTCTGGTTCTCAATGACCGCCCTTATAGGAAAGTTTCCTCAACTAAAAAACTAAAAACTACAAAAGAATTCCAGACTCTTCCTGAATGTATGGTAATTTTTTTTAATTTAAGCCATATAATTAATTAAATATTTTTCTGATTTTTATGCCCGAGCGCCCTGCCCCTAAGGCCATGCTTACACCTTTTCACTATCACACTTAACTTTGCTTACAATAATAACTGTCGCACAGGTTTTTTGAAAAATAAAAGGGTTCTCTATATATATTATGTGTTTTTTTTGTTAACTTATTTTTACTTTAATTTTATTAATTGGTTTTAAAATTTTAATGCTGATTTACATTTGCCAGCTTTGGGAGATAAGTACATGCGGCACGAACCTCTTTTTCAAATGTATTTTTTCTTAGATTTTGTATAAAAGAAAAAAAAATTGTATAGGGTTGGTCGAATGAATGCCCTCCTATTCACCAGTTTCGAGTCTTTTCGATTGCTGAGTATGAGGCCTTATGTTGGACAAAAGACGGAGTATAAAGGACCCAAATGGGGGAAATTAGCCTATGGTTACAGAAGATATGTAATAAAGTAACCGACGAAGACTTGCGCTTTTCTCCCAAAGTGTTTAACGCCGGTGTCGGCCGCTGTGGTGTAGTGGTAAGCAGTGCGCGCTTCCACTCCGCAACGCCTGGATTCAAGCCCTGGTCAAAGCAACATCGCAAAAAAATATAGAAAAAAGGTTTTTTCTTAATAGCGGTCGTCCCTCGGCAGGCAATGGCAAACCTCCGAGTGTATTTCTGCCATGAAAAACAGCTTCTCATAAAAATACAATCGCCGTTCGGAGTCGGCGTAAAACTGTACGAACAAGGCGCACGCCACAAATCGGAGGAGAAGCTCGGCCAAACACTAACATATGTGTAAGCGCCGATCTATTATTATTATTATTATTATTGTTTACCGCCGGTAAACCCAAATGAAGGTTAAAATTTAAAAACAAATTAATAAAATTGAAGTAACAATAAACTACTTTTTCGCAAAATCTATAAAGGCCCCTTTTATTTTTCAAAAAAAAAAACTGTGCAACAGATATTATATGATAAAATATTAATAGCTGGAAAAAGAAGTACAAAAGAAGTACAAAGCTAATAAAGGGGTACATTTCCAGATATTTTTTTTTGGGAGTACAAGGGAGTACATTGCAATAAAAAAGAGTACGTTTACTCCCAAAAGCAGTACGCCTGGCAACCCTAGTCTGAGTTAATACTTAAATATTAATCGAAGTGCCGATTGTTCCTTTTTTATATTTTTAGTACATTCGATGCATCGAAAATATCGATTTTTATTGCGATACATCGATATGCATCGATGCAATATTTCGAAGCATTAGATCGAAAAAAACAGGGATGTATTTTTTTGACAGACATCCCAAAGGAAAATGTGGGGCCACATACAGTGATGCCAAATTTAGTCTGAAAGAAGAAAGTTGCTTTTTTCAAATAAAGGCGAAATTCGATTTTTTCTAGGAAAATTTGATTTTATCCGAATTTTAGCACTAAAATGTAATATATCCAAAATTCCCCATTTTGGAGCAAAAGTTCGATTAAAGTCCGAGTCTCAAAGCTTCGAATGACAAATTTACCCATCCCTAGTTCGTAGGTTTCTCTTAATTTTTTTGTCGGTAAAAAATTATAATTAAAAAAAATTTCATGACACAAGGGAAGATTTAAACCAGTACTTATGAAAACAAAAGAGTATAAATTTGAATTTAAGTTATTGACGGTGTATTTGCCCTCAAACTTGTATTCGTACGCTACTCGTAACGCTAATAAAGTTAGAAGGACGAAATTCGAGGATATGGTCATATGTATATTAATCCTTAACATATAATTTATTCAAATACAAAATATCGAAAATCTTTTAAAATATTCAGGGTTACAATATTAAAAGGACATTTCCAATACCTATTCGTCCTTGTGTACCAAAACATTTAATATTTTCCAAATTCTATAGAATTTTCTCTTTTATTTATTTGTTGCTTTCGAATTATTCATATTCTTGGAGTTTCAAATTCGTAAAAAAAAAAATCGTCATAGAGCACTAAATTTTATTTTTGATGCAGAAACGTTCCAAGAGCATCTAGATGGATGGACTAAATTTAAAAAAAACGCAAACTAAAAGTGCTAAATTTAATTTTTTCCATTTATCAGAAAGAAGATTAGAATCCTAGACTGCCCACATTCCCCAAATTTTTCTATAAATCGCATTTAACATAAATATCTTTGTTTCTAGTGCGATTGGTGGCAAGCAATCCAAAATGGAGGTTATGGAGCTCTCTGATTTGCACCATCCCAATTGCAAAATAAACCGTAAAGTAAATAGTGGTGCTGAATTAGGAGGAATCGGCGACCAATGCAGGCGAGAGAGTGAGTCATCGGATTCGATATTGCTATCACCCGAAGCTAGCAAAGCCACCGAAGCAGTGGAATTTATAGCAGAGCATTTGCGAAACGAGGATCTCTACATTCAAGTAAGTTTTGTCGGCCGAGTTTAAAGCGCAGTTAGTCAACGACGTAGCGTAAACGTAGGTTTACGTACGTAGCAGCATATCAAATTTACTGTTGATAGAGAGAGAGAGAAGCAACGGCAACGTCACCACCATGCGGTGGTGAGTTTTCGTTAACACGCGAATTCCATAAGGTAGATCGTGTCTGCGTCCACCTACGTCTACGTTACGTCGTTGACTGTTTGAGCTTTTAACTTTTCACTTCCAACTGGTTTGGTTTTTTTTTTGCAGACCCGCGAGGACTGGAAATATGTGGCCATGGTGATTGATCGTCTTCAACTATACATCTTTTTCATTGTTACCACTGCCGGCACAGTAGGTATACTAATGGATGCGCCACATATATTCGAGTATGTAGACCAAGACCGCATCATCGAAATTTATAGAGGAAAGTAGACGAGAAATTCATCACAAGAAAAAAAAGCAAAATGCAAAAATTCATAATTGACAGTGCGGGTGTTTGCACTAATCCGTTGTTAGTGAATAAGCGATTAAGCAAATCATATTCATTGGAATCAAATACACGTACATAAGTACGAAAGTAATAAAAGGCCAATTAAAAAAATATTTCCAAGCTACTATTGCCCAGCAAGCGACAACTCATACCTAGTTTAAATTATTAGAATTGATTAATGTTTGTTTTGTAAATTTTTGTTCAATGACAGTTAACAAGTTTATAATGTAAGTGCAATGCTTCAGAGTGTAAGTTGAATTTGTTACATATTTTAATAGATGCATATACATATGCACACAATGCAGATGAATTTTCGGACTGTAGGTTTAACGAATTATAGTAAATAAATGGAAAATATACGCAACATTAGTCGTAATCGTACATTTATTTAAGACGATTACATCCGCTCTCTATTGCACTTAGGCAATAGCAAAATTTTCATTGATAACATTTTTTCAAACAAGAATTATTGTAACAAATTAGAAAACAGATTTTATTTATGAGCTGATACTAACTGATTAAATAAATATAGCATATTTTGTTTTCAAAAAGCACTTTTTGCTCTTCAATAATTCGAGTAGTAAATAATTCGAAACACACTGAACCAAAAATCTATCTCTGGATAAAAGAAAAACTTTCCTCACTTTAAGGTCGAAAATTCTTCCGAATGAGTAAAAAATTCTCCCGAATGAGTAATTCTTTGGAATGTGTAAAAACGTACACGTGGAATCGTAGATGTAATCTATCATTTTGAAGAAATGTTGGGCATGAAAAGATGATGTATTCGGGAATAGTAAAGTTCGCCGCTGAAGCGGATCTTGGAGTATTCGAGGGAAAGATTTTACGGAAGATTTCCGGCGAGTACCGCAGATGATGGAACGATGGGCTATATGAGCTAAAACAGCGGCTTCTCCATGATGTCCGAATGAACATCAGCTCTGAAAGTATTCAATTCGGAAACCACTGGTGGTAGCAGAGGATGAAGGAAAGACCAAATGGAAAAAGACATGGCTTACTTGGCATTTCCAATTGGCGTCAGTTGGCACATAAGAGAAACTACTAGCGTGCTTTGTTGAACTCGGCCAAAATTTCTTAGGCGGTTACAACGCCAAATATGTAGAAAAAAAAATAGTTATGAAATTAACCCTTTTCGATTTCTAATAATATATCGTAGCCTTATTTTGTTTTCTGCGAAGGATTATGCTTTTTTAAAGATTAGGTAGAAATGTGGCTATGGCGACCACAACATAACCCTACAAATTCTGCGCACAGCTATTAACTACCACAAATTTTATATAGCAGTTTTAAAAGCATTTAAATGAACTTTATTACCATTAGAAGCGAAACGTAAACAAAGTCGATTCTAATGTGATTTATTGGAAGCAGGTTAAAAAAAAAAACAGAATACCTGTTTGTGTTTAACTAATTTGTCAGTGCTAGCAAACCGTGTTGCCAAATTATCAATGAAACAAAACAAACNAGTAAACAAAGTCGATTCTAATGTGATTTATTGGAAACAGGTTAAAAAAAAAAAACAGAATACCTGTTTGTGTTTAACTAATTTGTCAGTGCTAGCAAACCGTGTTGCCAAATTATCAATGAAACAAAACAAACAGAACGGTTCATGTCTCCATCAGAATCACATCGTTTTTTTTTTTGCATTCGCGTGCAATATTTGTATCCGGATCCCGATCATTTGGCAAAAAATACGGCCAATATCTATGTACATTAGATTGCATTACTCCCCATACAAAAATAAAATCGGTACAGTTTTTCCATTGGAATTATAAAATCTATTATATTTTAAGACGGTTCAGGCTTAAAAAATATACATAAAAATATTTAAAAATTTGAACGGAATCGTAGCAATGAGGTTTTTGATGCTGTTTTTTTTTTTACTTTTTTCAAAGATTGGTATAAGAAACACTTGAATAACTGAACCTAAACTCTTCCCATTTAGACTTGTGAGGTATCATCGGAAAGGTATTTTCTCACCCTTAATATTTCTTTGCTAATAAGCTCATTCAAATTATGAAAGAGAAAGGTAGGATGAACGAACCTCATTCAAAGTTGGATTAAGATGTGTTGGTATTTGAATAAAAAATTCGGACACGAATAACTTTTTTGCACATAACTAAAAAGAGTTTTGGCCCAGTTATTTAAGTTTTTCATAAATAAATCTTTGACAAAAGTAAAAAAAAACAGTATCAAAAACGTCATTGTCACGATTCCGTTGAAAAAATTTTTAAATATTTCTATGCAGATTTTTTAAGCCAAATCTGTTTTGTCATCTGAGGGGCTTTTTTCAATAAGTTCTTTAAGAAACGATTTTTATTCATAAAAGCTCCATATTTGGAGGTATTTTAAACCCGCAACTTTTTTGGTGATGCAGTCTAATTTATATACGTATTACATACTAAGTATGTAAAAAAGTTTTTACGCCATCTTTTCACTACGAGCTGTATAGCACCTTAGCATAATTTTGGGTTACAATGATTCTTCGTAAAGAAAAGTAACTTCAATATTAAAAAAAATCCAATCAAATTAGGCAATCCTACAAAAACTGGCCGTTTAGCTAATTGAATAGACAAAAAACTGGAAGATATTAAAATTTATTTGCTTGCTGTCGCCCTGTAACCAATTTGAATTTCAAGTGCCCAGCTCACTGAAAGGAACTTTTAATTTATGCGCAGCATTTGACGGCATTGTCTTCACGCTTGTTTCGCCCAACTGGCTGATGGCTAAAGGTCTGATTATGCATACTTCGCATAACTTCGCACAACCATTTATACCAGTGCAATGGAAATATAAATTAAGAAAAAAAAAAAGCAAAATCTAAACTGAACAGATCGCTAAGTTTTTAAAAGTTCTGCTGATTTCATACAAAATACATGCAAAAACATACGAAATTACAGTTTGAAGTTGGTGCGAAGTTATGCGAAGTATGCATAATCAGACCATAAGGAAGTTACATACATATCGTCGTTTAAAGTACATAACCGCGTATCATTGTTCTGCAAAACCGCATAACTGACATTTTTTTAAAAAATTTAGATTTGCTCACAGAAGCTCTTAGCTCAAGCCTTACCCATTCGTCGTGAAATATACTAGCTAGAAATGCGATTACTTTATAAAAGAGAGAACCATTTTGAGTGTTTTTACTCTCTACAAAATAATTTATGCAACCTGACATACGCATCATGTTGATACGCGGTTTTGAATTTTAAACGACGATATACATATACATATGTATGTATATATGTATGCAATCGAAAGTCACGGACGTAAGCGTCAACGTAGGCATAGCGCACAAGCATACGCAACTTACAGCATGAGAGACGCCCAAGGTGGAAATTTTTCGCTTTTGTGGGAGCTTTTTATAAAAAAATTAACTAAAAGGAAAGAGAGCATGAACGAACGAAAAAAAAAGATGCAGGATAAGCGGAAGTTTAACACGTTAAATAAAACTTCTAGAGCCTTATAAATAGTCGACCATACAGCGCCTTTTTTAAAGTGATTTTTCTAGACTCCAATATATTGTGTAAGCTGGTGGCTTCTGAAGAACATAATGAAACTATAAATATATTCAGATTCACAAAATTTTTAGTTTTATTAGATGACCCCACATATATTGAGAATGGAAAATAACTAAATACTTATGTATGTCTCTTTTGGGAAAATAGATTAGGCTTCGGGAAAGTTCTCAAACCTTTTCGAGGTACTTTTCTTGTCTACTTTGTGGCATCACGACGACCGGGGTATTGCTCTGGCCAGCAAAGTCTCTGTGTAGCACAAACAACACCGATCAGCGACAGCATCACACTTGGAGAAATAAAATCGTGATTTACCATTTCTGATTTAATTTTTCTTCCTTTTATTTTGGACTTTTTTCTACATCGTTTTAATTTTTGTTTCTACACAAAGATACATATTACATTTTCATTTTTCAGTCGTTAATTCAAAGTTTTAGTCTCTTCTGTTTAGTGTCAAACTTGCCAAGTTGACACCATGACACCAGTCTGTTGGTGGTGGCGGCGGCGTCAGAGGAGGCCCTGTCGACATGTTGCTGTGTGCCAGCACCATAAATTGCTCCGAGCTGCGATCGAAGTAGATCGTGAGCCACAGTTTAGACCAAGCGTTGTGAGCCGTTGGTGATGCCAAGCCACAACGAGTTCAAGTCACTCCGTCAATTCACCTACAAGTTCATAGACACAGTCACTCACACAGCTTGCAATACATACATTAGCTTTACTTGTTGCTTCGTGAATGTAAGAACGCGGACGTCGTTGAGTAGCTGGTGCGAGGCGCGAAATCTGAAATTCAGTCAACTGGCAATTCATTCATAAATTTGTGAACTAGCAAATTGTTGAATGGGCATGGCGTCCACTCTCCGCTCACCACTTTTCGCACCGAATTGCAAATATTATGAATGACTTTATTCAAATTTATGCTTTGTTTTTGTAACTCAATTCAATCAGCAGAAAACTAAACTTTTGAAAGTATTTATACTTGGCCATTTTGGCGTCGAGTCTAAGTGTATTCATATCATACGATTAATTGAACCGAAATTCTACCGACGAAGTTTAATAAATTACTTTATTTTGCAAATTTTTTTTTACATTCGCCTGAGGTTGGCTTAGAAAAGCTGTCAGTCTGGTCCGCTGCGGTTACTCTACAACATCCGGTGCTCGTCAAGGCTGAGATTGTTTTTTTTTGTTTTTTTTTTACAATTTATCAAGTTCAGCGAGAACGTCAGTCGCGCATATTTAAAAAAAAAGAACAAAAAATAGCTTGAACAACAATGAAATAATATTAAAAAAATGTACAAAAGCTATAGAGTGAGCCGGGCTATTTGTCTACAAAATGGTTAACATTTGTCTTTTGAAAATTCTTTGCCTTCTTCCCCTTCTCATTATATGCCATTTAGGCCATATTAAATTACCAAACAATTTGTTTCTACACAATCTGCGTAAAGCACCAAAGTGTGCAACTCAGAAGTGTCAAAGGAGTTTATTTGTATCTTTTCGTAAATTATGCATACATATGTATGTATTTATCTATGTATTTACACACTTACTTAAACCTCTAGACAAATCTACCAGACTGTGGAATTACAAGTAATTCCAGTGCTTTTCATACATTTCAGCAGGAAATTTAACTTCAAATCGTTATTGTATATTTTAAAAAGTTCTTTGGGAGCTACACATTACGCTAAATAGGTTTACACTGTGAGCTTTTTATACCCGAGCGCATTTGTACACAATGGTATTATAACTTTGTTCGCATAACGGTTGTTAGTAACAGCCTAAAGGAATCGAGATAGATATAGAAATATACATACGAAATTACTCAGAATGAAAAGTG